GGGTTTTTTAAATCCCCTTTTAGTGTTTCCAATTTGTCCATTAATTTCTCTCAATTTTACATTTTGAAGTTCATTCCCTAAAGCAGGGGTCAGCCAGTGTCCTCCTGCTTCCACTGCACAGACAATGTAACATAAATTCAATACTAATTCTCCAAAGGTTACAGTATCCAGGACGGTTTCACATTCTAGGCCAAATTATCACAACACCAGTACAGGATCACTTCAGTTGCCAGTGCCAAGGCCCCAGCAATGTGTGAGAGGTGGTCCTGGAAACCGTCACTTGGGCGTAGAGGCTCACTATCATTGGTTTAATGCTGTGTTGTCAAGGAGGTATTGCCCAAACTCAGGAGGCATGTTTATCGAGTCATACAGCACAAGAACAGACCCTTCGGTCCATTAGTCCATGCCAACCATGTTCCCAAACTGAACTAGTCCCATTTGCCTGCATTTGGCCCATTTCCCTCTAAACATTTTCTATTCATGTAATTATCTAAATGTCTTTTAAAATGTTGTAACTGTACCCGCATCCACCACTTCCTCTGTGGCAGTTCATTCCACACATAAAACACTTTCTACATTAAATAAAAAGTCATCTCATGTCCTTTTCAAAACTTTCTCCTCTCACTTTAAAAATATGCCCCCTAGTTTTGAACTCCCCCAGTGTAGGGAAAAGACCCTTTGCTATTCACCTTATCTATGCTCCTAATGAATTTATAAACCTCTATAAGGTCACCCCTCAACATCCTACATTCCAATGGAGAAGGTCCCAGACTATCCAGTCTCTAGCGATGACTCAAACCCTCCATTCCCGGCAATATCCTCGTAAATCTTTTCTGAGCTCTGTCCAATGTAATAATATCCTTCCCCTATAGCAGGGCACACACAGTTCATTATTATCACATAAGAGCAATGCAAATGTTGTCTGCCTTCAGTGACAATGATTGCGCCCACCCACAGCAACATTCCACCCCACCTGAACAGTGCCCTTTCCCCCAAACCTACACAGCGACAGTGGACCACCCACTGGGCACAGTCACAGTACACCCACCACTACTATAGTGCAACAGTCCTGCCTCCCCACATGGCAATGGCTCCCCCCATCACCGCACAGTGACAGCATACCACCTGCTTGGCGACAGTCCACTGGCCACACATTGGCAGTCTACTAACTAAACAATAACAAAGTCAGCATAAATATTGCTGGACATACACACGTGTTTGTCAAAGAAAGATGAAAAACTCAACAGAATTGTCGCTTAACCAGCAACTGGTTTCATAATACATAACTAAAAATAAACATATGCTTTTTTTATATAATTAACTCTTACAATCTAAGAATACTTGTACTACAGATTAAGTGTGGAAAATTTCAGAACCCCTACTCTAGTGATGTGTCAATTTTATTAAAGTTTTTGTTTAGTAAAAACTGAGGCAAAGCGGTTACGCAATAACTGCCATTTTTATCGTTACCCACAAGTTTATCATACTCACCATTTAGCGACCCGATTCATAATGTAACTGTCCTTTTGTTGTTCATGTATCATTGCAACACTATTACTTTTTATATTAACAAGTTGATTTTGGAACTTATCTTTGCTTCCAGATAATTTTTTTTTTGTTAAACGTTTATAAATGCTTCATACTCCCTTGTGTCCATCCCTTGTGTGCACCTCTCCTTTAACATCTAAGTACATTTTGTATAATTCTTCCCATAGATTCAATTTTCCCTTTAATTTTTGCATTATCTAAGGTGCCTCAGAACTAGCTCGTTGCTTTTGGTTTTTATTAGAATACATTTTTCTTGAACATAATTGATTGTCTTTTGAAGATTTCTTGGAGCTTTTCTGTTTTTGTTCTTCAAAATTTTCTCTCAGTTTACCTTTGATAGTGTAACTCTCATTTCCTCACAACTTGGTTATTTTCTGATGGACATCTTCTCTTGATTAAAAATTCGAACAATTTTCATGACCACCCCCTTTGTCAATACTCTTTAATGTAGCCTCTCTATCTTATGTTTGTTTAAAATCACAGACAAAGCCATCACTGATTACTTCCTTGTATCCTTTACCACCTCCATCCCCTGCCCACTCAAAATCATCCTTCATTCACCTTGGAAAACTCTCTCCCCAAGATAGAGTCATAGAGGTATACAGTGCAGAAACACACCCTTCGTCCATGCCAACCAGATACCCTAAATTAATCTAGTCCCATTTGCCAGCATTTGGCCCATATTCCTCTAAATCTTTCCTATTCATATATCCATCCAGATGCCTTTTAAATGTTGTAATTGTACCTGCCTCCAACACTTCCTCTGGCAGTTCATTCCATACACGCACCACCCTCCGTGTCAAAAAGTTGCTCCTTATGTCCCTTTTAAATCTTTCCTGTCTCACCTTAAACCTTTACCCTCTAGTTTAAGACACCCCGACTTCGGGGAAAAGACTTTGTCTATTTACCCTATGGACACCCATCGTGATTTTATAAACATTTATATGGTCACCCCTCAGCCTCCAATGCTCCAGCGAACATAGTCCCAGTCTATTCAGCCTCTCCCTATCGCTCAAACCCTGCAACCCTGGCAACATCCTTGTAAATCTGTTCTGAACCTTTTCAGGTTTCACAACATCTTTACTATAGAATTGCATGCAGTTTTCCAATAGTGGCCTAATGAACGTCCTGTCCAGCCATAACACGACTTCCCAATTCCTATACTCAATGCACTGACCAATAAAGCAAGCATACCAAACTTCACTATCCTATCTACCTGTGACTCCACTTTCAAGGAACAATGAACCTGCACTCCAAGGTCTCTTTGGTCAGCAACACTCCCCAGGACCTTCCCATTAAGTGTATAAGTCCTGCCCTGATTTGCCTTTCCAAAATACAGCACCTCACATTTATCTACCACTCCTCAGCCCATTGGCCCATCTGATGAAGATCCCATTGTACTGAGGTAACCTTCTTTGCTGCGCACTCTAGTTTTGGTGTCATCTGCAAACTTACTAACCATTCCTCCTATGTTCATATCCAAATCGTTCATATAAATGACAAAAAGCAGTGGACCCAGCACCGATCTTTGTGGAACTCCACTGGTCACAGGCCTCCAGTCTGAAAAGCAACCCTCCACCACCAGTCTTCTACCTTCGAGCCAGTTCTATATCCAAATGGCTAGTTCTTCCTCAATTCTGTGCAATCTAACCTTGCTAACCAGTCTACCATGAGGAACTTTGTCAAACGCCTTACTGAAGTCCATATAGTTCACGTCCACCACTCTGCCCTCATCAATCCTTTTTGTTACTTGTTCAACAAACTCAATCAAGTTCATGAGGCATGATTCCCAAGCGCAAAGCCCTGTTGACTAATACTAATCAGTCCTTGCCTTTCCAACTAAGTGTAAATCCTATCCCTCAGGATTCGTTCCAACAACTCGCCCACCACCCATGTCAGGCTGACTGGTCTATAGCTCCCTGGCTTTTCCTTACCATGCTTCTTAAATAGTGGCACCATGTTAGCCAACCTCCAGTCTTCAGGCACCTCACCTGCGGCTATCGATGATAGAAATATCTCAGCAAAGGGCCCAGCAATCACTTGCCTAGCTTCCCACAGAGTTCTAGGATACACCTGATCAGGTCCCGGTGATTTATCCACATTTATGCGTTTAAAGACATCCAGCACCTCCTCCTCTCTAAAATGGACATTTTTCAACGTGTTGCTATTTATTTCCCCATGTTCTCCATCTTCAACATCCTTCTCCACAGTCAACACTGATGCAAAATACCTGTTTAGTACATCCCCCAGGACCTGCGGTTCCACACATAGGTGGCTTTGCTGGTCTTTAAGGGGCTCTATTCTCTCCTTAGTTACTCTTTTGTCCTTAATGTATTTGCAGAATGCCTTTGGATTCTCCTTAGCCCTATTTGCCAAAAATATCTCTTGCAACTTGTCAATTATCGAGGCTTTATGTTTTTTTAAAATCGACCATGACACTTCAGTAACTTTAAAGTTTTGGCAAAGATCTGTAGCTCGGATTGTGGGTGAGGTTGTTGACTTGCTCGCCGAGCTGTCTTGTTTTTGTTCAGACGTTTCGTCACCATGCTAGGTGACATCATCAGTGGAGCCTCCAATGAAGCGATGTTATTCTACTCCACTTGGAATTTATACTGTCCGGTCCGTTATGGTGAGTACTGTCATTTCCAGTTCTCCACCCATACCTCAATCAACAAACATACAGAATTGGACCCCATATATAAACCCATACAGATCAAAACCGGAAATGACACAACTCACCATAACGGACCGGACAGTATAAATTCCAAGTGGAGTAGAATAACATCGCTTCATCGGAGGCTCCACTGATGATGTCATCTGGCATGGTGACAAAACGTCTGAACAAAAACAAGCCAGTTCGGCAACGAAGTCAACAACCTCAACTGAGTAACCGCTAACATTTTCAAACACTCACTTTCCTCCACCTTTCCTGTCCCGGCCTCCAGTGTAATCTGTACTCTCCGTCCCGATCGTTCCCCTGACATGGTCACCATCAAGATTTGACAGGCTTCCTTTTGGAATTTTACCATAAAGTACAGATTTGAATTTCCCCAATTAGGCTTCCAACCCTGCCGCAAGACTAAGCAAAGTCACCAACGACACCCAGTACGGACTGCAGACATGGGACATTATTGTTGCCTATCCACTCTGTAACCTTTGAGAACGTCCACCACACCATCCTCCTTGCAATGCCTCTCCTCCTTCATGCCATTCAGCAAGGCTGCCTTTGCTTGGCTTCATTCTTACCTGTCAAATCAGAACAACTCCAGGAAAAGTATCTCTTCCAAGATAGGAGGCGCTGTATAAATGCAAGTTGTGATTGTTCTTGCACACATCATAATAGCACAACAATACACTTTAAAATGAGCTAACAAGTCACATGGTATGTTCTATGTATTGTTGCACCTAATGACTCAGGAGTTGACAGTAATCAAACCTCAGTTGTGACCTACCTCACTACTGGTTCGGGGATTGACTCCGTATTAGCTGGCACCTGAACACCTTTTTCCCATTCCTGTCGCCACTGGTCAGCTAGTATGTAGTAATCGTCCACGTTTAGCTGATAGGACTCAGGGAGTTTCATGGCAGTGATCAGATCTGTTCGAAACACCTTTTCGGAAAAAAAAAGCACAAATCAAAGTATTAACTTTTGCTGATTCCTTGATTGTCTCTTCACAGCATAAAGCAAGCCTTTGAGAGAGCATCTTTACTATTGGTTGGAAGACAAAGGGCGATTCCTTTAAAAGTAAATACGGAAATGCTCCAAATGAAATAACGAAGTTACAGACTTGTTAAATAATTACTTCGAGTCAGCTTTCACAGTACAGGAGATAAATCATATAGCATTCCAGAAATTAGTGAAGATCAGACACTGGAACTCACTAATCTTAATTTCAGCCAGAAAACAGTACAAGATAAAACAAAACACATACAGTTCTCTTTACAACACTCTGACCCATTCTCCCATCTTGCCCAACAATCTCCCGCCCTTCCGATGACACATTTTCATACAATCCATAGAAGTGTAGCACCTGCACTTTTACCTACTCTCTGAGTAATGTGAAAGACAGTGAAAACAAAAGAGACAGAAAGCTGTGTGTATTTATTTCAATGTAGACACCTAATTTGTGACTCTCAATGCAGCCTGCTCTACAGTGGGGAGATCAAATGCATACTGGGTAACCACTTTTTGGAACATTTCTTTTCAATTTACAAATGTCGCTTGCCATTTTAATTTTCCACCTTGCTTACCCTGTGACCTCTCCATGCTTGACAGTAATCAAGTAGGCAAGGTCAGGGAATGGCCACAGAACCTTATGCATGCTCAGTGGCCAGTAAAAGCACCACTCCAGCTGCACTGTCATTTTTGGCAGATGACAACATGCCAACATTTAAATGAGTCAGTAATGACTTGTAGACTTCATTCACCCTTTATCAATCATCAACTTGATTCACTCCAGAATAAATCTGACACCTGGAGTTATTGGGTGATACATGTCGGTAGGAATCAGTTTAAAGGGAGAAGTCAGTACATTATCAGATACCGTCCTAATCTAGTTCTTCCTGCATCTTCTTTTATGGTTGTCACCTATTCTTTCCCTCTGCTTTCTTTGCTATACTGCCAATCTTTTCTACCAATGGGTTGCAGTGGCAAGGGAGCAGTACCAGGTAGCTACATAATAGCCACTCCTGTGTCACGCTCTGCATAGACAGATATAGACAGACAGACAGACAAACCCAAAGTTATTCTTACCTGAATGGAAAGCAGTGCTTTGATTTATAAAGAAGGCTTTGCTTTATGAAAGGATTTGTCAGTTATCCTCCACATGGCAAGAGACCTGCAGTCTGTCTAACTTTATGTACTGCCCCACATGCGGTTATTAAAAGTCACAAAAATCTTATGCCAAGTCATCATTCCAGAGTGCTAATAGGTACATCCATGTCACAAATCCAACAACTCTTAATGCACTGCTGTCCAGACCTAGCTTCCCATTATGATAGCACACTGCAATTTTAACAAGTGTTAGGATCCCTCAAGGCTCAAAAAGTTACAGCTGGCTCAAATGTGGTCAAAATACTTCTTTTATTGATGCTCATATATGTGTCGACAGAAACGAATACTACTCTGTAAACAAGCTAATTGTTTGTTGCTCTACTCAAAACACAAGTCAACATGTTGCAGGCCGCTAAGAAATTCTTGCCAGTTGAAACGGAAGAATTTTTGTTGACTGAAACATCCGACAGCTGCATGAGCAGTCTGCAGCTCGCTAACCCTTCCCACCACAAATATGCCATCATCCACAGACCTTGCTCTGTGCATATCCATTTTCACAGTTACCATTCATTGCAGCTCATCAAAGCAATTTCCAGTTCTTGCCAAGAACAATATCTATGTGCAAAACTTGATGCTACACTGCATGTCTGTACGTCTTATTCTTCATTGGTACTCGAACGAGGAAGGAATCATTCACAATACTATCAAGCAGCATTTGCAAAGGAATAACCTGCTCAATGATGACCAGTTTGGGTTAAGCCAAGATCACTCAGTTCCAGACTTTCTTACAGCCTTGTTCCAAACATGGACAAAGGATCCAGAATTCCAGAGGTGAAGCGTCAGTGACTGCCCTTAACATCAAAGCTACGATTTAGTGTGGCATTAAGGAGTTCTAGCAAAACCAGAGACAATTCGAATCAGTGGGAAAACTGTTCTCTTGTCAAGTCATACCTAACACAAAAGAAAGGTGGTTGTGCTTGCTGGAGATCAACCATCTCAGCTCCAGAACACCAGTTCCTTAGGGGAGTGTCCTAGGCCCAACCATCTTCAGTTGCTTCATCAATGACCTTCCCCTAACCATTAGGTCAGAGTGGGGTCGGTAGTTACTAATTGCACAACATTCAACACAATTCACAGGTCCTCAGATACTGAAGCAGCCCATGTCCATATGCAACGAAGACCTGGACAATATTCAAGTTTGGGCTGCTAAGTGGCAGGTAAAGTTTATGCCAAGCAAGAATTTTATTCTAGAAGGGAGAATCTGGCATCACCATCACTGAATGTCCCACCACCATCAGCCAAGAGGTTATCACTGACCAGAAACTGAACTGGAACAGCCACATAAATACTGTAGCTACAAGTGCAGGTCAGAGGCTAGGAATCATGTGGCGAGTAACACACTTCCTGACTCTCCAAAGCTTGTCTACCACCTATAAAGTTATAAGTCAGGAGTGTGAGTGAATACTTCCAACTTGCCTGGATGATTCAACTTCACCAACACTCAAGTCATTGGGCACCATCCAGGAAAAAGCAGCTGCTTAACTGACACCTTACCCACCACTTTCAATACTGACTTACTTCATCACCGTTGCACAATAGCAGCAATGTATGCCAACTAAGGTATGCACTGCAAGAACTCATCAAGACTCATTCAACAATACCTTATCACTTAAAAGGCAAAAGGGCAGCAGGTACATGGGGACAGAACCACTTGCAAGCTCCTCTGCAAGCCACACACCATCTTGACATAGACCTGTATCATCACTCCTTCACTGTTGCTAAATCCTGGCAATTCCCTTCCTAATAATTCTGTAAACAAAGAACAAAAAACAGTACAGCATAGGAAGAGACAACACATTGTGGAGCTGAAGGAATACAGCAGGCCAGGCAGCATCAGAGGACCAGAAAAGTTGACATTTTGCATCGGGCCTCTTCTTTAAGGGTCCCGACCTGAAACATCAACTTTCCTGCTCCTCTGATGCTGCCTGGCCTGCTGTGTTCCTCCAGCTCCTCACTGTGTGGTCTCAGACTCCAGCATCTGCAGTTCTTACTATCTCACAGCACAGGAAGAGGCCTTCAGCACAATAAGACCACACTGACACATGACGACTTTCTAACTAAAAATCTTTTGCCTCTCGGCAGACCGTATCCCTCTATTCTTTACCTATTCATACATCTGTCAAGGTGTCCTCACACTCCAAGGACTGCAGCAGTTCAAGGAGGCAACTCACCATCACTTTTTCCAGGCCAGTTAGGATTGAGCAAAAATGTTGGCCTCGCCAACAATGCCCACACTGCATGAACAAAGACTAAATATGGAGTGTCCATGCCCTATTCTTCTAACACAACGCTTTTTCTTCATACTCCCCTATGCTGTAGAAACTCTAAACCCAAACCTGACACCTGCTAGCTGGAAGGCTGCCATATTGGCGTAGAAGCATCTTGGAGTTCGGAGGCCTTCATTGACGTCAGCTAGGCCCCGACATGAACCTGTTGTAGGTGTCAATGTTGTTCTACCAGTTTCTTGGCCCTGTGCCAATGGACCCACACAAACATTGCAGACAGTGGCTGCAGGAACATGTTACCATTCTGACAAGGGGCAACACTGCAAACATTCATTCTCCCAGTGTTGTCACTACTCAGCACTGACTCCACATCGCCAGGGTTCTGTTGGACAGCAGATCTAACTGCGCCAGTGAGATGTGGTAGAACTCAGGAGACAGCACGAGGACGATGACGAAGCTGAGGACAACAGTTGGGCGGGGGGGGAAGCAATAACTAATTAAAACCAGGCATTTGAGAGGCTGGCTGCATGGGAGACTGAGGATAAAGGATATTTTGAATTGAAGACTGGTTTGGAGGGCACTGTAGAATTACCTGGACATTGTTAGTAAGTAAATTAAATATTTTAATAATTTGTGAAAGGCAGATCAATCTAAATGATAGATGTGTTTAGCCATGCACTACAGAGATGCACTGTGCGCACTTACCTTGTCTACTCTGATCAGGTCTTAAAACGTTTCCAGCACTGAGCTGCTGGGTGTTGGCATTTGGCATCGATTGTTTTTGCTACCTCCTGCCTCTCCTTATGTCCCTATCCATATTTCTCTGGGATAAATGGTGCCTCCTTCCTCTGCCTGAGCTCATTCAAAACAAGTTCTAGACCTTCAGTACTGCACTTGGAGAACATGGGCCCTCCTTAGACATTCCTGAGGTTTGTTGTACTTCCGAAACCAAATGTTGTTAGTGTTGCTCTTTTAAGCTGTTTGTTGAAGCATATTAGCTTCCACCTCTGCCAACAGCCCCCACCCAGCTCCCAACTGTCACCCTCTCCTAGCTCCCACCACCATGTGCAGAATGTTGGGAGCCAACCATCGCTGTTGGGAACCTTGATAGAGTCAGGGCATCTTTTGTTAAGTGGGTCTCCACTGCCATTTTTCTATTTGTGAAAAACTAAAAAACCATAGCTGCAGATATAATATCTCATAATTCAGAAATACCAACATTTATTTGAGCTTGATATCTACACAGCAGTGTTTTGTCTCCCTGTAATTTCTATAAGCAAATCCCTCAGATAGCTGAATTCGCACACCTTCTGAATTTCTCAGCAAAAATGTTGGCAGCTCTCAGTCCAAAATAAATATAAATAAAGCCCACCCTTCCAGGTGGGAGGACAAATTTGTTTTTTCTGGCTAAGCAAAAGTGCCCATCACAGAGTGGCACATTGTACTTGGTTCAGTTTGTCTTTCTCAGAACAGAAACAACAAAGCAGTCAATGATCACATCACTTGCATTTTGTTCAATCATCACAGTCAGAGTGACCAGTGTCACA